GAGAGGTGGCAGCGGCGAGGCGATTGCAGCGAAGGGGCCGGTCCTTCCTGGTAGAAATTTAGTACTGCTGCCAAACCCATCTTCTTTCCTGGAAAGGGGGGTGATCTGAGACGTCACCTGCTGTTTCGCGCGGGTGACTCAGGGACCGGCAGACCTGGACACCGCGTGCCGCTCCCTGGGCCCACGCCGCCGTGTCTTCACCGGACACCACAAGGGGAAGAGGCCAGAACCTGCTGTCACCTCTCCCACTCTCCCTCCGCCCCGAGCTGGCTCCCCGTTCGCCCTTCCCAGGGCTCCTCTTCCTCCCCTGCGCTCCCCCCTTCAGGCAGAAGCCCAAACCTCGTGGGACCTGCTGCTGGTTTGTTTCAGGCAAACATCATCCACAGCGACACGTTTATAGCGTTCGTTCTGTGCCAGACACCCTTCAAAGCATTTCATGTGCATTTTTAAAGGTTACTGCGTGTGGCCCATGACCGCCCTGTGGCTGGAGGGTAAGGAGGCTGGATTAGGCCTGGGGCAGTCTGGCCCCTGAGCCACGGGACTGCTGTCCTCGGCCGCGTGTCTGCCTCCGCTGTCCCCTTCCCAGCCACCAGCCGTGCTGGGCCTGGGTGATTGAAGCAGCCTGGGAAATGCCCCCAACATGCACTAAACACCTGCGTCTGTCCTTCCTTTTTGTTGAATTGATTGGAGTGACCTTGGTTCATAGAATTATATAGGTTTCAGCGCCTGTGTCGTCTTAAAAGTCCATTTCCGTCAGCACTTCTTTTAGGCTGGAGCCATTATTAAAATGTAAATTGCTCTTCTTTTCGTTTTACAGCATGTATTCTTTTCCCAACCTCCCCAGTCTGTTAAAACTGGAGGTTTTCACCCTGTCACATGCAGCTAGGATTGAGGTGCCTAAAAGGGATAGTCAGACGGACTTGGGGTGAGCAGACACCCCGTCTAGGGGGCAGAAGGTGCAGACAGCAAGTGCCTGAGCTCCGATCTCCTCGGTGTCCTCCTTTGGTCTTTGGGAGAGGCCTCTGGGTGTGACTCAGGCACACTGACCTGAGCTGCGTAGGAGTTACGTAACCGTGATGTTTGCAGGAATGTAGGGGAGGACATGTTATGTATCAAGCCGTGTGCTTGGCGCTGGGACTTCAGGAGCATCTGGAGCCACCTGGGTGCTTTCTCAGAGGCGGCGCGTCACTGCACGTGGGATGCCAGGACCCCACGGGGAGACAGAGCCTCGGCCGGGATGCCGGAGCCCGGGCTCCTCGGAGCGGGGGGGCAGGGCCGGTTTGTGACTGTGGACTCGTGTCCCTTCGTGCCCCGTGTGACACCCTGTGGCTTACTGGGGGGTGTGGGCTGTTACAGTGATGAGGAGGAGACCCGAGCTGGGAGGGGGTCTGAGAGATGCGGCAGTGAGTGTAGAGGAAGGGCATGACCCATGTGAACTGAGCACCTTTGACGTGGGCTGGGGACGCGGCATCCCCGGCTGCAGTGGGGCTGGAGGGCATTGTGGGATCTGTGAAGTTTCTTGAAAATTCTGCGAGCTGGAAAGGCCTCAGTCCTTAGTAGCCTCAGGGGTCCCAAAAAGGCGCAAGGGCCCCATTGGCAGTGAAAAGTCTTGCTGGATCTCAGAAGTAGTTCAGGGAACTGGTGGCAGTTTTAGGGGCCTCCGATTTAGCTGTGTTTGCTTCATGCAGCGTGGGCGGGCCTGGGACGGTAGGTGTGAGTGGCTCCTCGAGGGAGGCCACGGGCTGTTGTGCTCAGAGCTCCGCCCACAGCCGGACTGCCTGGGTTCTGCTCCGGCTCCTCGGGAAGCCACCGAGACCTTGCGGAGCCTCGCAGAGTCTGCGCTCCTCATCTGTGAGTGGAGGAACACAATAGTCCTACTTGTGACTTGAAGTCCAAGGTCATGGCTCCAACAGATTCGCTGTCTGGCGGAGGCCCACCTCTGGGATGCAGGCTGCCAGCGTCTCGCTGCTGCGTGCTCAGGAAGGAACAAAGGGTCTGTCTCCCATCCTTTGTAAGGACACTGATCCTAGTCCTGGGGGCTCTGCCCTCGGACTCAGTCATCTCCCAAAGGCCCCACCTTCTAACACCGCCCCATGGGGCCAGCTCTCAGCATAGGAACTTCGGGGCGGGCACCAGTGGTTAAGGGAAAAAATGACAAACGTGTTCTCGTCTGGTTCTGTGCAGTTGCGCACCATTTCCGAGGACCTCAGCTGGGGTCCTTTTCTAAAATGAGGAAACATTTTGAAAAACAAATAACTATTTCTGATATAATGCTTTATAAACTTGAGTTTTCACCCATGTGTCCTTTATACATGTTCCTGATAACACTTCCCCCCTTTCCCCCACATTGTGCCCCACGGACAAAGCCAAAGGCGGGTGGGATCACGGGAGGGAGGCGGGGATGGCCGGGGTGCGGCGGGGAGCAGTGGGGGGCGGGAAATGGAGACAATTGTACTTGAACAACAAAAATAAATACATAAGTAAATAAATTTCATAGCTAAAAAAATACATTTGAATTTTTATACATTAAATTTGGGCAAAGTAATAGGTATTATGCAGTTTTCTTAATATAAGAATGTTAAGTTTTTTAAAAAGAGGTTATAGCTAACTTTTTTTAGCCCTTACAAGCCTATATCTGAGGTACTATTCTTCTGTGTATTAACTAATCATGCTTATATGTATTAACTAATGTAGCCTTCTTGACAACTCTACATTAATTACTGTTATAGTGCCCACTTTACAGTGAGGAGTCTAGGTATAGAATGGCTCACCGGCTTGTCCCAACTCACACACTGCATCTGCAGCCGCATCGCCTGCATTATTTCCAGCTACAAGATTATTTCTACTCAGGTTGCAAATTCCCTGTTCTGGAAGGTTCTTAGGCAGAAACTAAGGGGTTGTTAGGGGAGGGGCCTGAAGCACTCGGCTGGGTGTACCTTCAGGACCTTGGCTGTAAGTAACGGAGCCGACTAGTTAGGCGGAAAAGAGGTTTACTGAGGCCCACTGCTCCCCAGGGCCACAGAAGGCTGAAACGTGGGCGTGAGCGGAAGTCGAGGAGGCCAGGCCCCTGCCCCCATTTGCTCTGGAGGGCCCCTACCAACCCCGCTGCTTCTGCGACCCCCCAGGCCCGGCCACGGGGAGCAGTAGCTGAGGGTCTCATCCAGCCTCACCACTCCAGGGGCCAAGGGCTGGCAGGGGCCCCTGAGTGGCCCTGCTGGGGTCATGTGACACTCCGAGCGTTTCCCTCCTCCTTTCACCCTTCCTGGAGAGCAGAGAGGCTGCTCCCCTTCTACCTAGGGTGCCCCCCCCCCACCCCTGAAACAAGAAGTCAGAAGAGATTTATGGTGATAGGCAGCCAAAATGACAAATGTCCTCTCCTTTGGGGACCTTGCCTAGATGCTCCCCAAATTCCCTTGCAGCCTCAAAATTCTGAATCTGCCCTTTATGAGGGCTGGTGTTTTCCTGTAACACCTGGAATGAAGCTTCCTGGACGCGTTTTTCACTGAGTGTAACGACCCTGTTAGCCTTTGGCACAAAGGAAAATAAGGATGCACACTTATTTATATCATCTAGCTTCTGATTCAGAACAGACTGTTTCAGCTGCTGAACTCCTTTCGTTTATCAGGAAAACAGTTGATGTTTACCATTCCTCTTAGCAAAAGGAGAAAAAAAACATTTCAACATCTAAATGTTTCTGAGCGCACATTTAAGTACTTAGTGGTTCTATTGCATTGAATTGGTTGAGGGGAGCCGTTGGAACAAACCTGTTTTTGATCATCATCTCCTACCCCTTCTCTCCACCTACCCTCCCCTTTGCCTAATCTCAGGCAACGTGATCACTGTTCTTGTCTCGCCTTCATCATTCCTTGCTCCCTTCCCCGAATCGGTTTCTAAGCACCGTTGGCTTTTCATTGTTCAGTGTTCTCTCCCTAACACCTATCTCCCCCATTAATTCCTAGCCCCTGCCACCCCACAGCGGGATTAAGTCTCCCCTCACTACCCCCACCCCCAGCTGCCTACTTTCCCGCTGATCTTTCCCGGAAGCTGCTTTAGTATTTTTCCCCTCTGGGCTTCTTAAAGGCACAGAAGCAGGATCCTGTTGCTTACCAATGAAGCAGAGCAGCTAAGAGGGCTCTGGGGTCAGGTTCACGGTCCGGCGCTGCCACTCAGTGTCTGTGGTGGTGAGAGGTGGACCCGGATGTAACCAAAGGACTTACAGTGACTTAGCCAAACAGGCATTTACTTTGTCCCCCACGACAAGAAGTCTGGCAAGAGGCCACAGCGTCTCATGGCATCAGGGGCCCAGCTCTTTCCTCCTGCTCAGTCATTTCAGAGTGGCTGTCCCACCCTGGATGACTCTCGGAGCACAGAGGAGGGAGACCCAAGGCTGGGGTGGACGAGGGAGATGGAGCAACTTTGACAAGGAGCTGCCACAGCCCAGGCCGGTCTTCCAGCCTGACTTCTCCCTCCCTGCCGTGCACCACCGCGGCTGCGTTCCTACTGGCCCACTCGCCGTCGCCGAGCAAAGGCACGCCCTGTCGTCCATGCCCGTGCTTCCTGGAGTGCCATTTCCAAGTCGTAGCCGAGGTTTCCATTCTCCTGGATTGAGGCCCAGCTCAAATGCCTTCCTCCCAAGACGCCATTCCTGAATCCCATTACCACTGTCCCAGAGTGCTTTGTGTCTCCCGCTCGTGGGGCGCTGGTCTGGTTGGGCCTTGTTGTTGAGCTATTCGTGCACCTGCCCCTTTGCCTGTGCTGGATGAAAAGCTGCTCAAGGTCACGGGTCATCCCGGTCAGCGATGGGCTGTCCGGGCTTCCAGCGCAGGGCATCCTCCCCTGTGGGGGCTCCGCGGGGGGGTTTGGTGGGAGACTGTGTTTTGAGCAATGAAGGAAGGCAGTTCTCGTAGGTCTTACCTCAGTGTGCGCAGACACAAACCCGCACGTGGCCAGCAGACCTGGCCATTCTCAGAGGTCTGTGTTTGTCCTTCTTTCCACACCAGTGCCTGGAAAGAGCCATGAAGTTCGCCTTTGAGGAGTTCCACCTCTGGTACCAGTTCGCTCTGTCGCTCATGGCTGCTGGAAAGGTGAGTCCCCCTCCGCGGCACGCAGTTCCGCCCGTCGGGGCTCAGCGCCTTCGCACCCCAAGGGGTCACGTACCGCGTCTCGGAGGTCTAAACCAGCTGTCCGGGTCTGCCCTCTGGTCCTTCGTAAATGAGCGTTCACGTTTCATTATGAGCGTGGGCACGTCATTGGGATGAATTATGAAATACTTGCCTTTTTCTAGCCGTTGTAACTTCGTCATGGTGATACGGGGCTTCAACTCAGGCTAGTTTCTTCCCCCTGAAGCCCTTCCACTCGTTTGGGAGTGCGGACTTATTCCTGAAGGGGAAATCGTTTAGTTCTCGTTAGCAATTTGGGGTGTCGGGTGGCTTGTAATATTAGTGGAAAGCGTCAGCTTTGGAGTCTACCTGCTGGAGTTACGGTCTGGGCTCTGTGACCAGGTCACTTAGTACCTCAGCCTCCTCTTCCGTGAAATGTGGTCGTGACGGGACCTACCTCATGGAAGAGTGATCCAGGAAATGAGATGACGCCCACTGGGTGCCCAGGGTAGCATCCCCCACGTGGTACATACCCAGTGAAGATATTTGGGCCATTTAGTGAGTCTGCCATTTAGTGAGTCGTTACGTCTGTGATGTAAGATTATTTGGGCTAAGTTGAGACAAATTTATTAGAGTATGCTATAAATGGGACAGTTTACTTTTTACAATAACAGGAGCCTCCACCGTCTTTCTTTTTGCCTTATCTTTACAATGGCTACCCAGGTAGGGAAGACAACGCAGGTGATTCCAGGGAAGCATTTCCACTCGTCTGAACCACAGTTCACCCGCCGTCACTTAGGGGCCCCGCGCTCTGGCGGTTGCTGGCCCCAGGCCCCCCCCCCCCTTCCCCGGCATGGGTGGCAGCTCCGAGTTGGAAAACCTCATTAAGAGGGCAGCCAACTAAAACCCCTGGGGGGAGGTTCTCATGTTTGGTCCTGTCCAACATTCCGAGTTTCACAGAGTTGATCTCCTCTGCCCAGTCTGCCCGTGCCGTGAAGGTGCTGAAGGAGTGCATCCGGCTGAAGCCCGACGACGCCACCATCCCCCTCCTGGCCGCCAAGCTGTGCATGGGCTCCCTTCACTGGGTGAGTGCGGCGGCTCTGCGCAGGGCAGGGCCGGGTGGGGCTGCGGGGCTGCGGGGCTGCGGGGCTGCGGGGCTGCGGGGCTGCGTGCTCCTGGGCGCTGAGAGTGGGAGCGGTGACTCACCGGTGCACCGACACGGGGCTGCTTGCGCCCCAGACCCCTGGCCCCCTCGGGCCTCACACGCCCGCCCTCACGACGGTGAGAGCCAGCGTGTGCCCATGCCCCAGGCTTTCCCGTGCCCTGGCACCGGGCTTCAGAAGCAGAAGTGATGAGGCAGAACCGGGGTCCACGCTCAGGTGCGCCCGGCCTCGGGGAGGCGACGTGGGGCTGCGGGGTGTGCGCTGCTCACGTGTAAGCCCACCCGCCTCTCTCCGCTCCTCCGCCTTCCGCCTGCCTTCCCCCTCCGGCAGTCCGGCCCAGGTCCGAACTGGGAGCAGCCCCGTGGGTGGCGGTGTTACTGCCCCTCAAACGTATACCGTCTGCTTCTCAATGGAAAGTAGAAAAGTCAGACCGATTACCGAGAGGGGTTTTAGTTTCTTTTCTGTGACTTTGTATCAAGATCGGTGATAAGACGAATTCTCCCAAAAGACGGAGGGGCCTTGCTAAGGGGTTTGGTTTTTTTTTTTACCATTATGGTCCTTGCTGCTTGTTTGTCCCTCCCCGACTCCCTGCACACTTATTCTCATGCAACAGGGCAAAAGTAAGCCTTGTGAAGAATGGGTTCTACCTTTGTTCCATTTTACTCGGTAAAATGTGAGAGAAAGAAGACATGTTGGAAGAGCAGGCTGTCGCCGGAAACAGGCGGCAGTGAAGGCATCGTGTGGCCCACGCAGGGTTCACCGGCTTGGAGCCATGAGGCCATGGGCACCGGGGCACCGGAGCAGGGGTGGGTGGAGGGGCGCCTGACCCTGACCCCGACCCCTCTGTCTGGAAACGCCAGTTCCCAGCTGTGGCCTGGGCACGCCACCCAGCGGGGTGCTGTTCCGGACCACAGCACATCTGTCTGCAATGCCTAACATGAATCTACTCTGTTTTTTCAGAGATGAAAGCAACCCATCTCTTCTGTTTATATTTTTTCCATTTTTATTATTAAAACTCCCAAACACCACAGAAGTAAGGAGAGTAAAGAACGCCCATGCCCTGTCATCCAGCTTCAAGAGCATCAACGTTCGCCGTGCTTCCAAGGAACAGGCCTTATTATTGTTTTTGCCTCTAGTCACCGTGGGAAAGGCCGGGCGTGGGTGTAGTTTATAGGTGCACATTCTCGCTGGCGTCTGCCGATGCCAGGTCCATGTGCTGTGCGGTTGTGAAATAAAGAGACGGAGTTTTGACGTTTTTAACAGGCTGTGGGAAAGAGCATCCAAGTCTAAATGGATTCGTTATGTTGAAAGAAAAATGTGTGACTCAAACACAAAACATTTCAAGAACTTTATTATTTACATACACGGGGTGGGCAGAAGGAGGTTTACAGTTGTGAGTGCACGCCGCAGAGTTTACTCTTGTGTTATTCCTTATTGATTATTTATTTGTACTGTGGCTGTAAACCTACTTTCGCCCACCCCTGTATCCGAGATGCAACTCCTGACTGCCTCGCCCAGCCTGACCGCAGAGCCAAGAGTTAAAGGGAAGACGAGAGGGACAGGAGCCCTGCCAGACGTGACGGTGACGTTGGAGGAGAGGACAAAAGGAAAACTTTAAAGAGGAAAGGCCAGGCAGGCGTCCCGAGGACGGTTAGCTCCGAGTTTGGAACATGGACTGATGGCCAGCGTGGAACTCGGAGATCTGGGCGTCGTTCTCACGGTGACTCACAGGAGTCTGCTTTCGGCAGCCGGCGGTTACGGTAACTCGTGTTAGAAGCTCTGCAGGTTCTTACTGTTATTGTTCATCTGTCTGGTTTTTCAGTTGGAAGAGGCGGAGAAGTTTGCCAAAACAGTCGTCGATGTGGGAGAGAAGACGTCCGAGTTCAAGGCCAAAGGCTACTTAGCTCTGGGGCTCACATACAGTCTGCAGGCCACTGACGGTGAGAGAAGCCCCACCCCGTGGGCGCCGTGGGCGCCGTGGGTGAGGGCTGGGCTGCCCGTCTGCACCGCAGGGCTCCCACAGCTCCCTCCGTCCTTGGGGGGCATGTACACTGGGTCGTTCTGGTGTGCCATCCCGTGGGGCCCTGCTGCTGCTGTCCTTGTTGCTTGGACTGCTTGGAGAACGGGAGGCAAGGGGCCGAGGCCTTGCGCCAGGGCTCCCAAGCTCTCTTCCAGGCGCATGGGGCTGGTGGTGCACAGGTGGCCAGCTGGTAGGTGCAGGGCATCTGTCATGAGGTGCAAGGTGAGTGGGGTGCCCTGAGAGCCGATTCACCTGACCCAGCCTGTGCCTGCCTGTGCCCCAGCGCTCAGTTGGGTTGTCCTGGAGCGAGAGGATGTTGGGTCTTCAGCACAGGAATGCAGACTAGTCCAGGGCCAGCCGCTTCCCGGAAGCTCCCCTTGGTTGGCCAGCACCCGCCCCTTCTCCAGGTGTACACTCTATCTAATTCACGGATATGCACGCGTGCAATGCGACCGCACGCCAGACACCCATGCAGCGATAGCACACGTTTTCGATACACTTAGGGTTTTGGTGGACAGGCTCTGGCTAAACAATGTTTCATACACTTCGTGAAGTTTTCAATGACAGGTTTGCAGAAAGCATAAACCGATAAATTGTTTTCTCTGAACTCTATCATTCCTTTAAAATTTATTGTTGAATATAAAAAGTTCGGAAATGAATGTGAGCGCATTGGCAGAAGGCACATAGCCTTGCAGCCCCCGCCCTGCTCGGGAGCCCGGAGCCTGGAGCCCGTCTGCCGTGGGCTCCTCGTGTGCCCCTCCCGCTCGGGCCCGGGGAGAGAATACTGTCCGGACTTTTTAATGGCGTCCGCTTGCTTCCTTTTTCTGTGTAGTTTTGTTACAGCATTTTTACAGCTTACCCCCAATTTTTCTTTCCTCTGCTTGAAAATTTCAAATGCCCCGAAGAAGTGTTGCCTATCCGTTGATTTTTTTAATAATAGATTTTTTTGCAAATATTTTATATACACACGAGATATTGGCACTACCCAGCACATTATTTTACCTACGGTAGGCTGTCAGTGAAGTGTCAGTTTAATGCCATGCATTTATCCATACAGATTCTTAGTTTGGACTCTACCCCTAATTAGCCGTGTTACCCTGGGAGAGGCGCTTGTGACCCTGCTGGGCCCCACCGTGCATTCGTGACCCATTTGGGCCCCTGTGTGGTTCCCTCTAGCTCGGCAGGTCCTGTTCTGTGAGCCACGGGCGGCAGGCACAGCCAGCTCTCCGGGGCAGCCCTCGACCGTCCTCAGTGGAATGTGGGCATGGGATCCGCCACAGTGCGGTTAGTAGATAAGGGCCTCCTCCCGTTCCAGCCATAAACAGGCTCCGCTGGGACTTTTTTGTGTGCCCCAGTGAAAAGTGCCCTTTCAGTTCCCGCAACAGACTCCGAGGGCTCCAGACCCACGTGCCGTCCGCAGGGAAAGGGCTGGCTCACGGCAAGTCGGCCTCACACCGCGGAGCCGGTTTTCCCGTCTCAGTGTTGGGCTTGCCTGGTCGTCCCCTTGTGTGTGTGTGTGTGTGTGTGTGTGTGTGCATCTCCAGGTACTGGAGGTCCTGTCACTGCACAGTGTGACTTACACTGGCCTTTCCAGGCATCGAGCTAGTGCCCCGGGCCAAGCATCGTAGCTTCTCTGTGCCAGAAGCACCTCTGGAGGCCGTCCGGTCCAGCTCCACTGGGGCCTGATTATCTTCTCTGCCACTGGGCAGGGCCAGGCTTCACCCCAGCCTGCGCTCGAGAAAACAGACGTCGTCCCCTCAGGAGTTCCCAGGTGGTCTTTGAAAGGTGGCCCCCTACGCCCGGGGGCACTAAGAGCGGACATGCAACTCACACTGGCCCCTCGACACCATTCCACGTGTTCCCCACGAGGACCAGAGCCTCATCCTCCACGGTGCCCGGGACAGCACTGGGCTCACAGGCACCCGGGATCTGTTGCTTATAATCCAACTGAGTGCATAGTTTTTGTGACAAGTTTTGTCTTTGTTCAAAACTCCCCGATCTGCCATGCCCCCGACTAACTGAACCCTCTTCTCAGCTTCGCTGCGAGGGATGCAGGAGGTCCTGCAGAAGAAGGCGCTGCTTGCATTTCAGAGGTGAGTGGGAGTTCATCTTTTCGCTCGGCTGTGCAGAGTGACACCACACTATGATAAGTATAAAAGGCAGAGATATTTATAAAGATTATGTAAACAGTGTTTCACCCCTGGGAGTGCTCGTCTGAGCACTGATTATAGAGTAGCAGAACTCGCTGCACCGTCTGCTGCCGTGTAGGTCTGTATCCTTCATCTGATCCTCCGCTGGGCACACTTCATCAATTCCTAATAAAGCAGTTCAGCTCCAAGAAGACAGACACTTTGTACGTCTAGGGAGATGATTCCTTTTATTAAAGACATTTGTCATCATCTAGAAAAGGGATCATTTCTTTCTAGCTCTTTTTTTTTTTAACCTGTCAAGTTGCAGATTTTTATATGAAGAAATAAAAAGGCCGGATTTTAGGACAGTCTCTGAAATACTCTATGACAGTCAAGCCGGCCCGTCCCCTCCAGCCTGGCCACGCTCCACAATGCCTTGTGTTCGTCTGTGTCCGTGCACCTTTCGTGGAATTTGGAGAATGCTTTATAACCAGCGAACGCTTGAGTGTCACAGTGTCTGTTCACACCCCTTACGTAACCTCATCCTCACGCCCTCTCCGTAAGGTGGACAGGACCAGGAGCACGCTCACTGCAGGTGAGGGACCGCCATGCAGGGCTGGGGAGAGTTGCCAGAGTCACATCTCTGTTGAATGGTCAGGACAGGCTCGGGGTTTCCCGACTCTCGCCCAGCCTTTCCGGTGCCCGCCGCACCACACTGCCCTCATCTCATTCTCACTGCAGCTGTAATAAATCGCTGCAATGAATCGTCGCCTGGGGTACAGGCCCATGATGTCAAATCTCTAATTGCTATGGATCCTTTCTCGCTACAAAGATATCCGAGTCACATTGCTTCCTTGGAATTTGTACTAGAAAGTTAGTAACCTGCCCCCAGATGTCATGAGGACCCCTCAACACCTAAGAACCTGTGTCAGGTCTCTCTCCTACAGCCGGGTGGCCTACAGCTTTGCCACCACGTGCGTGGTCCCCTTTTCGAGACGTCGCCCCCTCGCGTTGGCTCCAGCCAGTCCGGACTCCTTCATCCCATTTCTGTGTCCCCCCACACCGGGCCGGCCCGAGGCTCCTCGCCTTGCCGGGCCCAGCCTGGTTGGTGACAAAGGGCACCGACTGACTTCTGCAGACAGAGCGGCTGTCCCCGTGCTGAGCTCCTGCTGGCATTCTCCAGCACGGCAGTGTGGGAAGCGTTTCCATCTCGAGGGATCGGGAGCTTCTGACTCTCCAGTCCCACTTGGTCAAGCACACACAGCGATGCCTGAGAACGTGGTCACCGCCTCTCTCTTGCTTAGGTCTGCTCACCTGACTGGCCCCGTGGAAGCAGCCCTGGCGGCGGTCTGCCCCGAGGCGGTGGAACTCAGGGCTCTGTGTTCTGTGACAGCTGTTCCCTTGGCCCGGATTCCTTTTTGTTCCTCTGACTTAGGCTTTTAGGTTGGAATTCAAAGAGATTTTTAAAACATCAGTTCATGTGGGAATGAAGAGGAATAAAATCCTACTCATCTACGTGGTTTATTGTGGAAGGGTAAACTAAATTAGTATATACATGAAGTAAAGGATATTTTTCAAAGAAATAAAATTATTTTGTTTCAAGTACACATTAACTAGGACTGTTATAGTGCATCATCGTAGACTTAATCTGTAAGGAAAGATTTTAAGTAAATATGAATGATTTGTATTGCTCCCTAAATGTAAATGGATATTTAAAAACCACTTGGATGAGAAGTACTTTTTTTTTTACCATGTATTTAAATCTCCTCCCCACAATGCTATTTATACTATTGTTTGGCAATTTTTGTTTAAAAGGAAAACAAAAAGTGCCAACGCAGATGTAAAAATTAACTCCATTTTCCTAGAGTGAGAATTCAGAAAGGTTCACAAAGGTTTTTGAAGGCCTCCCACTTGCATTTCTGCATCGTAATATGGAGATGCAGAACATTATTCGCATCTCGGCTGTTCGTACGGAAGCTCAACCCAAGCAGCGGAACCAATGCATTTGCCCCGTTCAAAAAACAACAAACAAACAAAAACACGTGTGTACAAACTGCACACACCGAAGACATGTGCTTTCTGAAGACGCCGAACTGGCCTGGGGGCTGCCCCTGCGCACGCTCGCACCCCGCAGCGAGGAGCCTGGAAGCGGCAGCAGAGAGCACGCCGCAGAGACCCGGCGCCCGGCACGCAGGAGTCTGGGCCGCTCCCTGAGGAAGAGGTGGCATATGTCGTCGTTGGTTGTCGCAGTGTGGTGATGCGCAATCTCACATCCTTGCCCTCTCTCCCCCAGGCTTGAATTCAAGCCTGAATGTAGTACGATTTGCGTGTATGGAGTGACCCCTGCCCCCAGTTGGTCAGGACCTGAGCGGTGTCCCAGACTGTGGGAATTTCAGGGCTAACTAAGCCCAGGGAAATCCCGGGCAGACCAGGACGTGTTGGTCATCCTGTGTGCGTCACGAATGGGAAGTTCCTGAATGGTAGATCTGACCAGGTTTGCACATTTTGTTTTCTTGCCCGAACAATACACCCACCACACTTCTGCGGTGATCTGGACTGAAGGGGCCTTCCAGGAGGACAGACCAAACGAGGCAGCAGGGTGACTCGGTGGAGAGCTCCAGGCCTCGGAGTTCCACTTTGGCTCTGGCTCTTTCACTGGATGGTCTTGGACCAGATGCTTAATAGTAGATGCTTTATAAGTTGTAGTTATTATTGTTGCAAACTGTGTATCTTAGTGACCAGGGTCAGAATTGACCAGCTTTTTCTATATTGTTGGTTCAGCTCTGGAGCATGTTGGAGAGTCTAGGAGAGCACTGGGTGGACCTCAAGGCACCCGGGGTTGTAGACAGGTGGTCTACAGGAGGCCGATCCCCTGCTCTGCAGCAACAGCCCGGCACGCTTCTCTGGGGGCCTGGCTCCCACTGCATTGCATTGGCCACCATGGGTCTCCCCGGGCTCTGTGGGGAGAAGGGATGTTCCTCAAGGAAAGGCATGTGCATGGTTCGTCTCCCCAGCAGTTGTCACAGGCATCACATGGGGACTGAATAATGTGGGTTGGTGGGTAGATGAATGGATGGATGGGCAGAGGGATGGATGCATGGGTGGATGCATGGGTGGATGGATGGATGGATGGATGGGTGGATGGGCAAATGGATGAATGGATGAACAGATGGATGGATGGGCAGAGGGATAGATGGGTGGATGGATGGATGGATGAATAGATGGATTAAGGATGGATGGGTAGATGGATGGATGGATGGGCGGAGGGATGTATGGATGGATGCATGGGTTGATGGATGGATGGATGGGCAGAGGGAGGGATGGATGGATGGATGGACGAGTGGATAGAGAATGGATGGGTGGCCTGGTGACCCAGCTGTCGAACAATTCTTTGTTCATGGACAAGAAATTAAATTAGTGGGTATGGAGCTGCTTTGACAAGGGAAGCCCTTAGTGAGCACCCCTGTGGTTTCTCTTAGCAGCGCCACCAGACGCCTGCTGTATGGGGGCGGGGTTTGTGGGCTGCTTTGTACTCACGTGCAGAGTTCAGCAGGCTTGTAGTTCTCAAGAACACGGATGAGTTTCCTCTCACCTGCACTGCTCGGCGACACCTGTTGAGCGGTCGGCCGCAGGCACACCGCAGTGGTTCCGCCACAGGAAGCACAGCTGCTGAGTTGTTCTGCATGATGGAAGTGAGTTTTCGAGAGTCTCATGTGATCAACATGCACTTCCAGCACTTCTTGTTTTGCTGGGTGTTCTTATTTATTTTCTCCAGCTAAAGTGGTCAGTTTAACTCATTAGCCTAATTACAAAAATGAGGTTTCTGAGACCTCTATGCTTCAGTCGAGCCTCATGAGGAATCTGGCAGGTGGGTATCCACCATTAGCCAAGTCTGCAGTTCTCCGGATGCTGCCCTAACCCACCCAGAAAGGCCAAGATCTCTAGCACTTCCGGGTCGGTCTCTTCAGAGGCCTGCAGCTCACAGTTAATAATCATTTGCTGGCGCCAAGGTCGGGCCTGGGGTCAGAACCATCCTTATCCATCGCCCCGAACACGCCAGACCATTGCCAGCTTTTCACTCGGTTGGTGTTGAGTAGAGGCAACCATGGGTCTGATTTAACCTCACGTTTGCAAAATCTGAACCGGGCTGAGAAAATGACAGCTCGGAGGAATTCTTTTTTGATGGTTGTAGAAACCTGGCTTTTTTCTTAATTATGAAAGAAATGAGATAAAATAAAGAATGCTAAATAATTCACTGTCTCTTCACAACTAATTTCGTATTCATTTTCCCTGGATAATGGGAGAGACAGAAACCGTGACATCCCAATCCTATCTCCCGCCAGCACCAAAGGGGAAAAGTCTTTGATGTACAAATGCACGGGAGCACCAGTGCTGATGAAACAGTAAAAACTGGAGCATACTGGCAGAAACGAGACAGCTAAAAGGGCAACGCAGGCAAACAGGCTGAGCCTCTTCTCTGAAGGCGAGGCGAGTCCCAAGGCTGCGTCTCCAGCCAGAGTCACCGGTGAGGTAACCAGGGAGGCGACTTTAGGTGCTTTGCTCTCAAGAGCAATGAAAGGACAGAGACCCCCACCTTGCTCCCTCCAGTCCACCCCCCTGAGCAACCTTGTTTGCCTGGACAATGTCCCGGACACTGTCCCAGACACATGGACGACTTTGTCGTGTTTGTCCCCGCGGCAGACGGACACTCCCACGAGGCCTCCCTACTGGAGAGAGCCCTCCTTGGCGTGTTTGCTGCTGTTGGCCCCATCATGATTCGGCTTGCTTCTCTATCCCGAGTTTGCTCTATGCTGCTAGAAGCCTTCCTTTAATCACAGAATGTTGGCAGAGCAGCATGAAGGCTTGTTTACGATCCAGGCCCTCCCGATTTTAATTAGTCTGCTCCATTGTGCCTTTTAAAGAAAAGTGTAAGTTTGTTTTCACTTCTCTCCAGACTTTCAGCGCAGAGTATGTTACATACAGTCTCATTGTGAGTTGCTCTCGGCGAACTATGATTGACTTTCACATAAAAGCAAGAATCACCACACTTGCAGGTCATTAGGAGGCCAGCGCAGCCCCTTCCCATCCGGCGTCCAAGGCCAGTTGATAAAACCAGACCCAGGGCTGAGCCGCAGCCTGACGTGCCAGAGTCACGTGGCCAAAGTTAGCAAGCCGCAGGGACCCTGGTAGCTTCAGAGGACTGAATGCCTAGCCTTCTTTGCTCCCTGTAGTGAGTCCATCACCAACCAAAGCCTCGTTTTACAAGCAAAGCCGGGTCTTGATTTTCAGGTCGTTTTCTCTGAAATCCAGAAATTTGGAGGAAGTAGCGGTAAGGCCGAGCCACAACTTAACCGAAGTAGCCGTCACCTTAGCAAGTGCATCCGTAGCCTCGTGGTGTCCCAGCGTAACGGGAGGGCCTCTTCTGCTCCAAGTGCCGGGGGCCAGAGCTTGGGGCCTGCGGAGCCTCTGCCTGCAGCTCATGCTCAAACCCGGCATCTGCGGCTGCCCCTTCAGAGGCAGCGCCAAGCTCAGAAGTACGCTGCTGTGTCCTAGCTACGTGCAGAAAAGGGAAAACGCGTTGCATTTGTTAGCGAACAAAGGCGGGGAGTTTAAATGAACCAGTCAGGAGTTAAATGTGTGGCCTTGGTGTAAAAATGCACATGTGAACGCCTGTCTGAGACCCTCTCCCTCGTGCTAACGGCCGTCACTGCTCTTTCAGGGCCCACAGCCTGTCACCTACCGACCACCAAGCAGCTTTCTACCTGGCTCTGCAGCTCGCCATCTCCCGACAGGTCGGTTTCTCGAACGTTTCCTGGACTGGGTGCACGCTCTGCTTGGTGCGGCTCCTCCGGCACCTCTGTCTGAGCTAGTGGCTGGGCCTCCACTCACCCGAGGCTGGCCCGGAGCCGGGACACGCCCCCCCCCCCCCCGCCCCGCCACGGGACGTGGCCTCCTCACAGCCAAGACCCTGGTGTTCTGGTCACGCCAGGCTCTGCTTTGGAAGGTTCAGTCCCTGGATCCGAGGGCCCACCTGGGGTCGGACGGCAGCCTGGGCGCAGCACTGGGCATGTACCTAGGAGCCGTCCAAGAGCCCATGTCCCCTGTCACAGAGCCCGGCGCTGAGCCCTCAGCATCGTGGGAATGTAGTCACTGGTCGGGGCTTGGGTGCCATTCGGGTATGGGTGCTTGACAGGAAGATGCCAGGAGACAGAGACAAAAGACACCAGTTCCTCTAAACACGTAGAGGGTGGCAACAATTCCACATAGCGGCTCCTTGAAATAGGAGAGTCCACAGTATTCTTAGAGGAGGGACAAACTTTACTGGCCTTCGTCTTTTCTTTGGCAGCTTCCAGAAGCTGCCTTTGCCATTCTCATCCCTTCCCATCCTCTCCCAGCTGTTCAGGAGACGTTGGCCACATGTCCGCCTGCCCACCAGGTGCAAGACACTGGTGGTAACCCCGGCACATTCCTGAGTGCTGACTGGAGGGTGAGCAGAAGGTCACTTCCCCAGACATGCCATTCCCCTGGCAGCCCAGGCGGTAGGCATGCATCCGACTTCCCAGATCGGTGGCTCCCACTGGGGACCCAGGGGCTGAGGAGACCCAGCCCCCTCCTCTGTAAAGGTCCTCTCACCCGGCATGGCGTGGCTCACAGCTGGGCTGAGCATGGGCTGCTGCTGCAACAGCTGAGCGCTGGGGACCAGCCACCTGGCCTGTCTCCCCACCGGGACCTTCTCTCCCCACCTCCACGGAGCCTTTCCCTGCAGCGGCCTGCGCTTCTCCTTCCTCTTGCTCAGCTCTGCCGGTCCGTGTCTTTCTCACTTTTTCACTGGACTCGAGGTTCAGCGGGGGCAGGAGCCTGTGTCCATCGTCACCGCTGCTCTCCTGGGCCGCGGGAACACTGCCCGGCAGGTGGCAGGCACTCAGGGATACTCACGGAACGAAGGAGCCAGCTCAGAATTCCTTCGAGTCAGCTCTCCCTCCAGGGCATCTGTTGAACCCTGGGCCAGCCCGTCCCCGATTGCTCTGGTCATCCCTGCACATCGTCACTGTGGGTGTCCCCTGCCTCTCAGCCCTCCCCACAGTGCCGGGCTGGGTGCTGTTCACACCGTCCATGCTCATCCCTCGGGCTGAGCCTCGTGCGTGTGAGCGGCCTTCGTGGGCACGCAGCATGACAGCCCCAGACTTTGGTGGCAGCATTTCCCTGCTGACCACGGGCACGGGGCCTGCGGCCCCCTTTCTTTAGAACCAGTGCCATTTGTCTAGGAGCCGAGGGTGGGAGAGGAATCAGAACCCCTTGTGCCATTCATCTCAGGAGCTCAAGGGCGGGGTGACCTTGCTCGAGTTATTTCATCTCTGGGCTCAGCTTCCTCCCGTGAAGGAAGGTTTGGGCAGACGATCTCCCTTCTCGCTGCAACAGCCACGATTCCATGGCTGCGAGCAGAAAGCCCCCATGGCCAGCATGTATCATTAAACCCATCAGAAATGGGATTCCAGAGAGGGGAAAAGCACAAGTCGTGGCTTCCCACTCGGGAGTGCGTTTCCGAGGGTTTGGGAAGAAGCAGGATGGCTGAGAGGGGGTCCGGCGGAAGGGTCCCCGGGCCAGCGGTGCAGGAAGCTCCCACCCTGAGCTCTCTTTCAAAACCCAGCTTCCAGCCCTAATCCTCCCTCGTTGCTGCTAAACCTGCGTGGAAGCTGGGGTGCTCACTGTTCACTGCGTGTGCGTTTCACCACATGAAGAAAGACTGGAACAGCTGCTGTACACTGAAGGTTAAGGCTGTGTCTGGTCCTGCTCGAGTCTAACGTGGCTCCGCCACGTGCTTCTCGGGTCGAGTGTTCGGGTGGTAGTTTGGGAAGGTGTGGGGTTTCTGTTTGCGGGCGTGTTTGTCCCTGACATCTGACGGGGAACCGGGGCAAAGGGACTTGGACGGAGCCGCAGGTGTCTGGTCACTCAGAAAGCTCCGTTAACGCTTTCGTGACTTCAGCACTTCGACTCCAGTCCTTCCTCCTTTAGAAAGTGAGAACCGTTCAGGCTGGGCAGTTGAATTCCACCGAAAACCTCTGGCCATTTCTCTGTGCCTCCCTTTAGTGACATTATCTTCAGCGTGACCAAAAGGAGATCCGTTTGGTGGGGAAAGGCCAAGGGTGTATGTGGGGGGAGGAGAACAGATTTGGAGCTGGGAGTCACACTGGCTCGAAGACAGCCCCCACTTCCCCGTCTGCCCCGAACGTCCCGGTGCCTCCGCCCGCGGAGGCCGGGCCTAAAACCGGAGTGCGGACCGGGGCGAAACGGCCCTTGAGAAGCAGATAGGGAAATGGTGGCTGTGTGTGTGTGTGTGTGTGTGTGTGTTCGAAAATGCGTCCTGGTTGTGTTTTCCACCAGATCCCGGAGGCACTGGGGTACGTGCGCCAGGCGCTGCAGCTGCAAGGCGACGACGCCAACGCCCTGCACCTGCTGGCCCTCCTGCTGTCCGCGCAGAAGCACCACCATGACGCGCTGAACATCGTGGACATGGCCCTGAGCGAGTACCCGGAAAATTTCATGTGAGTGCTCCCAGGCTCTGGTTTTCCCTGACTCGGAAGCTACTGAATCCACTCTCACAGCGACTTCCTTCGCGCTGATCTAAGTCCTTCACGGACGTCCCGAGGGTGAACAGTGCGAAGCCCCCTGCGCTCCGTGTTTTCTCATGGTGTTCAGACACAGATGTGCCGTTGACCCCCAACGATGCGGAGGTTAGGGGCGCCAGTCCCCGGCACAGTGGCAGACCCGTGGAGAGCTCCCGAGTCCCCAAAAGCTTAGCCACTAACAGCCTGCTGATGAGAGAAGTCTTACCCATGAATATAAACAGTCGATGACACATTTTTTGAATGTTCCTTGTGACATATACTGGGTTCTTACAATAAAGTAAGCTAGAGAAAAGGAAGTGTTATTGAGAAAGAGAAAACGCCTTTCTTCACCGTGTCCATTGACGCAAACCCGCATAGACGTGGACCCGCGCATTCGAACCGTGTTGTCCGGAGGCAGCTGAGGTCTGCCAGCTCGTCCCTAGCAAGTTCAAACTCTTCATCCGTTTTTCCGCTGGTACCCTTGGGGCACACGGGGTGATCTCAGATGGGGGAGGATGAACCTTTTTATGTTAAGAGTTATCTATTTTTAAATGTACATTTGAAAATAGATAACTACATATCGAAGTATGATTTCAGAGAAAAGATCGCTCAGAGGGAGACTAAGAGTTTCTTAAATGAGTTGAGTTAAAGTCAGTTTGAAGGAAAATACTAAGAAAATACTGGTCGATACACCGGGGAGTGGCAAACGTCACAGGGAGCGAACTCCCACGACTGACACTTGGGGAAACACAGTGCTTCAGAGCCTGTTGGTCCTGCGGGGACTGGGGCCTCTGCTAGTTTCAGCTGATTGTTACGTTTCGGCAACTTTGACCAGGGTAACCTGACCCCTTTCTGCCTTGGTTTCATTCTCTAGGAAATGGAATTCTTTACATCGGTCAATCAATATTTGTACGTAACGTGAGAACTGTCACTATAAACGGCTCTGTGTTTGAATTGTCTGCTTACGTTTCCGTTTCCGTGGAGTCCCAGAATCCACGCTTGCTGGTTAGGCTTTGCAGAGCAGACATTGTCTCTCGGGCTGCCCGGCTCCTGTTTTATCGTCCGTGGAGTAGCTAGGAAACGGTACACTGTTGCTGCCAGACACAGTCAACAGCCCTGCATGCCAGGCAGGTTCGAATTGTCTCCGTGGCAGGGTCAGTAATGGGGCGGGGGCCGCGGGGACAGGGGAGGAGGAAGGAGTGGAGCTCGTGGCCCCAGCCGGCTCTCTTCATTTCGGTGAAATAAGAGCAGTCGCAAACTTTAAGTGGATCCTCTTCATCTTGGGCTTGATGTCTCTGCCTCATCACCTCACTGTGTTTTTCAATCAGCGAGTTTCAGCAGCTCTCCTCGGAACACCGGTTCACACATTTCCATTACAAACATTTCATTGTCTCCCAGTGAAAAGAGCACTTCTCTGCGCCCCAGCGAGAGAAGATGAGAAGATTCTCATTATAATCCGGGAGACTCTGAGGAGAGATTTCCTTTGTGGGTGCAGCTACTTATGCAGAGGGAATGAAAGCGCTTTGCTGCAGCGTTTGCTTCTTGCAGACCTCAGACTGGCTCTTCTGCATGTGGAGTGTATTTCTGGATCTCATCTGAGCCCCGTCGGCCCATGGAACCTTAGAGCAGTGAAAGCACTTGAAAAAACCCGCGGTCCTCTACCCATCGGTGAAGTACCACCCGATGCAATTAAATTCAGTTTCATCAATATTTATAAAGCAGCCTTCCCTGCCTCCCACCCCCCCCCCGGCCCCCAGCCCCCGCACCTTCATTAGATGTGAGACTCCCGCGTGTGGCTCCTGCATACACAGCCTGGGGTGTCATCCAGAGCCAGCTTGTTAAACTAGCAGCCACACCACATTGTAAGCAGTAAACAGTGGTGGCTAATATGGCAGTGCCTCCAAGTGACAGCAGCTGACAGCCTTTTCAAGCACTATAAGTAAGGAACAGCAGCAGAGATATTTGAGGAATGCAAGCCTGTTATTTTAATGTTAAGCTGGAAGCTCAAAAAAGCAAAGCATATGTCAGCAGGTCTGAGAGCAGCCGATGACTTGTTTGCTTTTTAAATATTTGTATTTCTCCCTTTGTGATGAGAAGCTTCTTCCTGAGCACACTTGATTAAACGTGGGGCCGGATGCGGTCGGTAGATCCCATGCGCTGTCCCCAATCTGAGTGAAATGTTCCAGCACCAGCCTCGGCAAGGTGATGTGGGCACCTGTCGCGTAGCACTCCCCTCTGCCTTGTGACAGGCTCATCTCCAGCAGAACCGTAGACTCCCGGAGGCCAGGAATGCGTCGTGTTCCTTGTGTCCCCCCGGCCATACCTGCCACAGACGGAATGCGTAGTTGACCTGACGTGTGGTCAGCACCTGCCTCAGGCGCGTCCGACCCGCGGCCCGTGGCCTGTGTGCAGCCCGGGATGGCTGTGAATGCGGCCCAACACGAAATCGTCAATTTACTTAACACATTATGAGATTATTTTGTGATTACGCGTGGCCCAAGACTCTTCTTCTTCCACTGTGGCCCAGAGCTGCCAGAAGGTCGGGCAGCCCCTGGGAACCCTGCCCCCCTGGTGAACCACTGCACCCAGAGTTGGCCCCGCCAGCCTCTTGGCCCGGTGCAGAGAATTACAGAACTTTCTGGTCCCCGTTAAAGAAAGCTTCTCCAGGTACTTAAATACCAACTTTTATCATTCCACATTAGCAGCAAGGATGGACACAGAGAAGCTGGAACTCCAAGGGCATTTAACTGTCTCAGCCAGAGCATCTAAGGCGTTGGGATCGATGCCTTAGTCATAATCATTACATGGGAGTCACTCAATAATTCATAGGAATTATTATTATTATTACTAATACAGTGTTTTCAAATGTGGTATTCTAGGATCTTTTAAAATTGTTATTAAATATTAAGGAGAAACAAAAAGACTATTTATTAAACATTTAAAACAATAATACAACTAATATACGTAGAGCCCTTCTTTGTTTAAGGAAAAGAGCACGAACAGGGCCCGTGAGCGGCCCGTGTGCCCCCTTCCTGTCCCTTTAACCTTTCACCTCGCCGTCCACCACCGCTCCGAACTGTGTGCTGAGCAGCGACTTGTGGTTCTGTGTATGCCACGTACGTTTGTACTCCTAAAAAATAAAAACCTTTGATTTTGCATGTTTACAATTTTTAAATGGAATCGCACTGAAAGTACCCCTATACTGCCTGCTTTCATCGCTTACCATCACGTTCAGAGGTTCGTCCGCAGTGCATACAGCAGCAATTTATTCATTTATGCGTGTGAATGGCTTTTATTGTGTAAGTATACCAAGATGTATTTTTCTAGTCTGCTCTCAGCGGGTATGTGGGTTGTTTTCAGCTGTTACGAACAATGCTGCTGTAAACATTCCCGCTCGCGTCCCCCGACGCCCATGAGTAAGCGTTTCTTGAAGCGACACCCAGGACGCAGTTGTCGGGTCGTAGGATATTGTGTAAAATCTTCAGCTCGACCGGACAATCCCGAACTGTTTTCCCAAGTGGCTGTGCCGTGGTGCGCTCCCACCGGCAGGGCCTGGGGACCCACCTGGCTGCAAACGCCAACGCTGGGTGTCGTCAGACTTACTTCTGGCGGTGCAGTTGCTGGTTAGTGGTGTCCCGCTGTGAGTGTACGTGGTGTGTCCTTCCTTGTTATTGAGGTTGGACACCTGTTCACTAGTCTATTGGTCATTTAGCTTCTCTCCTTTGTGAAGCACGTGTAGAAGTCTTTCTGATTAGGTTGCCTTTCTCATTCTAGTTTGTAGGATTTCTTTATAGATTGTGGTTACGTGTGCTTTTGTTGTTGTTGTTGTTTATATGTGTTGCAAACATCTCCCGATCTGTGCTTACTCTTTGCTTTCTCTTCTGACTTCCTTTGATGAACAGAAGTTACTGATTTAAAAGTAGTTGAATCTCTCAATTATGTCTCCATGGATAGTTCTCCTGTGCCTAGTTAGAGACCCTGGCCGTCTCCAGGATCACGGAGATAGGCCCCTAACCTGCCTTCTGGGAGCTGTCTCCGTGCTGAAAGCTGGGAGTTCGCCTAGAGTTGCCCGCCGCACCTGTGTGCGGTGTGAGCGATGCGATGTCATTTCTTTCCGTGTGATACCCAGTGGTTCCCACACACCGTGCTGAACAGATTCCTCTCCCTCTTGCTCCACCGTGCCACTTTTGTCCTGAATGTGCACGCGTGTGGGAGCCCGTGTCTGAGCTTCCTGCTCGGTTCCACTGGCCACTGGGCCCTCCACTGTGTGTGACCTGGCTTTCATCACCCAGCTGCTTTAAGCTCTGTTGGGGGTTGGGAGGGTCGGTCCCTCCCAGGGTGGCCAGTTTGGGCTTTGACCAGACCCTCACAGACTCTGTGTTTCTGCCTCGGAGAGTCCTTTTTAGATGAGATGCTGGGATGAGAACTGGCGGTTTGTTACTTGTTGTCTTTGGAAAATACATCAGGTAGTATCATCCTTGCGGCGCCATTGAGAGTCTGAGAGTAACTCCAGTGTGTTACTCTAGTCCGGCAGGCCCCACCGTGGCTGCTGTGGGCTCTGCCAGCACTGAGTTCTTGCCCCGAAACAAACTGAGGTTGTGCGCCTTTCATAATGACACATTTTTAGTTGGCTTTAACTGTACTCTTTCCTACATAAAAAGAATACCTACAGGTCTCTTTTCATGTGCCCGAAGAGAGGGTATCAGGTCAATAGCACACTTAGGAAACCATCATGTGTTACCGCAAAGCACAAGAAAGTGATTTTGGAAACCTCTGAAGGGTCCGAACACCAGGGGGATCATTACAGATGTTCAGACAGCTCTGCTGAGCGCATCTCCTTCTGCGGGAGGAGACCCCGTTGTGTCCTGAGTGCTGAAACTAACGCTCAGGCGCCTGACGGGCAGGAAGACCGTAGCCTCTTCCACAGCACTCCTCTC